GGAGTTTTGTCAGAAAGAAAAAGCAAAACTCCCTGCCGTTACCCACTCCACTGTCCATAAATCAATGTCCTCCCACCCTTAACTCCAACGGGCACATCTAGTAATAAGCCATTACCGTAGAGCTTGGCAGTAATGGTGGGTCCATGACGGCGGCTGAATTTCTTGGTCAGGAAAATAGCATACTCATCATAGTTGGTGTGGACCACATAGGACTCCATGGTTATGTTCCATTCTGTATGGGAGGTGCAGGCAGACCAAAGGGATCAGTAGTCAGAAGACTATTCTAGCTGGAGGTCTGTCACCTGTTTACTCACACGTCATCTCCTCATCCATCCATCTATCCACCCGTGCCTTCCATATCTCCATTTATCAATTCATCCATATTCAGTCTCTCCCTATTCACCCATCTATATCCTCCATGTACTCATATTAATTCATCCACCATCACTCAATCCATCTATCCTCTCCATACATCAACCCATCTCCCTTCCTTCCTTCTTTCCTTCCTTCCTTCTTTCCCTTATCACTCCATCAATTTACCTATTAGGCAACTGACTGATTGACTCATTTATCCTTTACATATATTCAGTTACCAATCATTTCTTCTTTCATCCATCTATCCAGCCAAACATTCATAAGTTCAGCCCTAACACAATTGTTTGGCACATAGAGCATATTCAATAAACATTGTCTGAACTAACAAATAAATTCATGTCCAAATTCCTCTCTCACTTTGCATCATGCCCACTGTACATGGTAGATGCTTACTAAATTTTTATCAACTGATAGGAGGTGCCTACGAAAACATGAAGGCTGGTGAAATCAGCACCATCACCCTACTCCGGGCATGGGCACCAGGGGGGCAGGGAAGGAGAGAGGGAAGGGGAGGAGGAGAGGAGGAGAAGGAGGAGGAAGAAGAGGAGTTGTTTGGGGGAAGGCTAGATGACATCTCAGCTAAATGGGAGGAAAGGTTACAGAGGCAGGGGGAGCTGAGGACATCAAGGTATTTTCAAGCAAAGGAGAGAGCGTGCATGTCTTCCACTCCACTTACTGGATTTGTGATAGAGAAACTTCCCGTCAGTATCTGTTTTCTCATAAGCTCCAGACATCTCCTCACAAACACCTTTCCTAGAAATGAACAAATCAAAAGGAAGGTCACTCCCGGTAGAGATCATCGTCCTGACACTCAACCCTCCTGCAGGGCTCTTTCCAAATGCCTTGGTTTGGGGGAGTCTTTTTGTTTGTGTGGTTTTGTTTGCTTTCTAATTTGGAAATGAACATTTCCAAATGTCTTATTTAATGCTCACACTAGCCCTGAGAGACTCCCATTTTCCATATGACGGAGGGACAGAGAAGAAGAAACCAATCCGTGCCATCCTCCTGGCAAAGCCAGCACTGAAACCGCCTTCCTTAATCAAATCTACACATTATACTGACGCAGGAGGAGCTGGAGTGATGAATTCCTGCACTCATCCATGTATTGTTCTGTGTCTCTCTTGCCCCAGTTTTCTCATTTATAAAATGGGGATCATGATAGTTTCTACCTCACATGGTTAGTGTGAGGATCAACTGACACATATGTAAAGAACTTGGAGGAAGCACTATATATGTATTAGCTATTATTGCTACAATGAGCACTATTTATCCAATGGACATTTATTGGGCAGCACCTATGTGGCAAGCCCTGTGCTACATGCCAGGGATACATAAGAGCGCAAAACAGACCCCATCCCCTGGGGTTCCTGGAGCTTGCAATTGAGTGGGTCAGGCAGGCAGGCGAGAGGCAGATGCAGTCAGTGGGAGAAGTACCACATGGGGGAAAGTGTGAGGTGCTCTTCCGGCACAAAGAAGGGCAGGTAACCTGAACCTGGGTGTCTGGGAGGGTTTCCTGGAGGAGGTGACATGAAACCTAAGTTCCGAAGAATCCACAGGAATTAATTAGCCCAGGGAAGTGAGGAGAAGTGCTCCCAGTAAAAGGAACATCAGGCGCAAGGACCTGGAGGCGTGAGAGTTCCAGAACCGGAAGAAGGTCCACATGGGTAGACTCAGAGTACATGGCAGAGTGTGTGGCAGGGAGTTCTGGGTTCTGGGAGGGCCCTGGAAAGCCAAATCAAGGGTTTGAATCTTACTCCCAGGGCAGTGGGGAGTCATGGAAGGGTCTCGAGCAGATTTGAGTTTTCAAAAGGTCTTTCTGGCTATTGGGTGAAGAGTGGATGGGGTGGAAGGGTGGAGATCAGAGGTGGGGAAAGAGTAGAGAAGTTGTGGCAGACAAGCAGGAAAGAAAGAGAGGTGGCTTGGACCAGGGTGGTGGCAGTGGAGAGGGGAGAAGTGAGCAGGTTGGGGGGATTTAGGAGGACAATGGGCAGGACTTGATGATGGGTGACAGGGGAGAGAGGAGCCCAGTTCCCAGGTTGGGCCCCTGGGGAGTTGAAGTGCCCACACTGGGCTAAGGAATGCCCAAGGGGGTGGAGCAGTTTGCAGAACAGGCACAGTGCTGGGACACACTGCCCTCAAGGAATAGATAGGACACCTGAAAAGGGAGGTCCTGGTGGAGGAGAGTAGAGGGATCTGGGGTTCGGCAGGAAGGTCCTGGCTGGAAGCAGACATCTGCAACTTCCCAGGATGGACGGGGCTGGGAAGGTTGTGGGTCTCTTGGTCTCTCTCAGCTTTCTGGCCCCACCCCAATGCTCACCGCCAACGAGTGCTGGTCATGCTGATCTCCGCCTCTGTAGCGCCTTCTCCCAGCACCAGCGTGCTCACTGTCATCCTGTCCATGATCTTCTTCAGCCAGGGGCAGGTGGAACCGATGGCCAGGTTGTACCACTTCCCATAGATCTAGGAGGCAGGCGAGCTCTGGGGGTCTGCACCAGTCTCAGACCTCAAAGCAGACCTGGCTGACATCTGCCCCCTGCCCTCCACCACCTCCTCCTCTTCCCCCTCCTCCTCCTCCTCCTTCTTCTCCTTCTCCTCGAGATGACTTATCCTTTTAAGGGATAATGTCTTATGACTAATCAGAAGCCACACACCTTTAAGGGAGGACAGATCCCTAAGAGGGATCATGCCTCTTAGGGAGGCATCCCTAAGAGGGATGCCTGAGTTCCAGGCATCACAGCGAGCCCAGAGAAGCAGGTGTGCAACTGGGGTCCCAACCTGCCCTGCAGAAGGGCTTACTTTATCGAGATGTGGGATCTGTCCATAGCTTCATCAACCACTGCTCCCCAAGAGCTGGAGTCCTGTCTTTTACTCCTCCAGTGATGGGGTAGCCCCACCTCGCAAGGCAGCCCACAACCCCATGTTAGGAGGTATTTCAGAAGTGTGATGAACATGATGGGATCATTCAGGACAGGCCTGCTGCCTCTTCCTCCTGAAAGCGCACAGGACAGCTGAAGGAGCCCTCAGGCTCCTGCAGAACAGGTCAATGTGCCCCACGTCCTTTGTGTCCCAGACTGCCACAGGGACCAGCTTCTCATTGCCCCTCTGCCATGACCTTTCCTTATCCCTAAAAGTAAACAAAACCCACACGACACCACAGCTAGAAGGTTCTGACACCCTTTATACAGACATGGAGACTGAACCGAAGATGGGCAAGGGTCTGCTCAAAGCCACCCCGGGATTTAGGGTAGAGTGGAGGTTGGAAGGCAGCTCTGGCACTCCACACTGGCAGGAGAGTGTCCTGCCCCAGTCCAGGTCTCTCCGTGTGCCCAAGCCTCTGAATGTCCCCCAACCCCATTCTCTGTCCTGCTCCACCTCTTCCCATAAGCCCCACATGCCCAACCCGAAAGCTGCTGGCCACATGTCCACCCTGTGCCACCCCAGGTGTCTGTCCGCAGTCAGGCCGGATGTGGCAGGGGATGCAGGAAGAGCTAAGGGAAAGATGCCACAGGGAGAGGGGAGTCACTAGAGAAGGAAGGGCTGGGAGTGGGGTGGGCAGAGAGGTCTGGGCAAAGCTAGATGCCTGCACGGGGGCTGCAGAGTAGTGGCAGGCAGGACAAAGCCTTCTCTGGAGTGGGTTCCCATTAACACAAGGATTCCCCTTGGAGCCCACGAGGACAGTGCAGAAGGTGAGGATGTTTGACTCATAGAATGTCAGCCAAGAGGCCCACAGAATGGCAGGGGATAGAGCTGTACCTTCAAAGGATCCCATAATCCCAGATGATCTGAGTAGAAGCCTGAGACCCCGAGACAGGCAGCACTTGCTCAGCAGGGCCCATCTGCCTGGAGTCCCCATCACCACAGACACCCCACCACAGACACCCCACCACAGACACCCCACCACAGACAGCGGCAGCCTCACCCGAGAGACGTTGAAGTTTTCCTGCACTTGGATGTTGTCGGGCGGCGTCGGCACAGGGCCGGCGCTCACTGCCAGGCAGGCACTCAGCAGCAAGAGCAGGGCCCCGAGGCTCCTCATGGCTCTAGGCTCCTCTGCCTTGGTGTATCCCACAGGCTCGGTCTAGCAACAGAAGGGCCACTGCTTCCCTGCCCAGGGTAGCTGTGAACTGAGGCTGGGGAAGGGGCCTGTGGCTTGTCGGTGACCTCAGTGTTTGCCCTGCTCGGCTGGGGCCAATTACAGCCCCAAGGCCAGCTCCGATCGATCTCTGTAGCCTGGCTGGGGTCAACAGTACCAAGAGGCCGGGATGGCTGCTTCAGAAGAGGCATTGGCCAAGCACAATAGGGCCCTGGGGCACCAGGGTTGGGCTCCGCCCCCCCAAAAGTCCCCCTCAGATTCCCTACCTGTCACTGGGGTCATGCGAGGATGGGGAGTGACCTGGCCTTTCTGCTGTGTCATACCATCTGGACCTCACAGCCCTGTGAGCCAGCAGGTCAAGGCTGATTGGGCCCATTTCTCACAGGAAAAAACTGAGGCCCAAGGAGAGGAAGTGGCTTGCCAGAGACCTCAGGGAAGTCTATGGGCAGAGCCAAGCCCAGAATCCAGGTATCCTGTCCCCAGATTTCCTTCTCCAGCCCCCAGGCTTGTCCTCGCCTTTGCAAATAATAGAGACATTAAGAATGATGACTGCTATGAGCTTCCATTCACTAAGCACCTGCTCTGTGCTGGCTGTGTACCAGGCACTTTACACGTGCCACAGGCTTCCAGTGAATCCCCACAACAAGCTTATGAAGTAGGCGCTATTTGTCCCCTTTACAGACAGAGGAGTTGAGTCTCCAAGAGTGAAGCGACTTGCCCAGAATCTCTCAGCTGGGAGTGGAGTAGCTGGGAAAGGCACGGTTGAGATCATGGACGTGGGAGCCAAGCAGCCTACAGTGGCACTCACTGCTGTGTGACCTTGGGCAAGTCACTTTGCCTCTCAGTGCCTTAGTTTCCTCATCTGTAAATGGGGATAATAATAGCTCCTAGCTCCTAGCATCGTTGAGTGGGCACCTGCAATGCGCTAGGACAGTACCCAGCATAGAATAAGAGCTGAGTCTTTGTGGCGGGTTGAACAGTACCCTCTCCAAAATCCATGTGCATCCCGAACTGCAGAAGGAACCTGATTCGCAGATGTGATTAGTTAGATGAGATTGAACTGGATGACAGGGGTTCTAAATCCAATGACCGGTATCTTTATAAAAGAATGGCAAG